AATATTCTGATAAATGAATCAGCATCTGCAATGTATATTTATGGTGCATGGTATCTATTTATAGAACGGAAACACACGTTATCATATATTTTTTTTTAGTTTCGCCATTTTTAATGAACGAAAAATTGAATACGCGCGGTATAATTCTTTTTGCTTTTTAGATAAATATCTTTAATAAATCATTAAACGAATAAAATATACACGATACACGAAGTGGTTGAGAATGTGTAAAATAAATGAAGGATCGAATATGATATATTTATTGGTGTATAAAAATGATTTAAGGAATTTATCAAGGTGATACGGTCTTAAAAAGAGCATCAAGATTAAATCTGCAATTTTCAAGCGTTCTAAATTGAAATAATCTGATATTTCACTTAAATCAATACCAGTCTTTTCATAAATTTATATTTCAAAATTAAATTCGATATTTTAAATTTAATTTTCAAGCGTTGTAAATAATCTATATATTTTCGTTAAATAAAATCTCATCGATAAATTGTAATTTTCTCAATCAAACCGAGCTATAATTTCGAGTTTTAAGCCAATGAGTCAATTATCAAATATAATTCTGAAAATCAGTATCACGATGATACTATTTTAATCCATACCCAAAAAATTTTCTCCACAAATTCGTATCCCTCCTCAAACAAAAATTCAAACGATAGAAATTAATTATCGATGATTGACAATTTCAATTATGTACCATAAATTTGCTTCGAAACGTAGGAACGAAATATATTCTCGGCGAAAATATAATATTATATGTACACAACGAACATAATTTATATCGACACGTTCAAAATGTGTTTCAACTTACACCCGATATACAAATTAATTATCCCTACTTTAATCATGTTCTTAAATTCTTTAAGAATTCTTAATGCTTAATTACAACATTGATCGAAACATAGTAGAGATATCAGATTCGAGAATTATGGAATATATGAAAATTTATGAATTAACGAAGATGGTGAGATATCGATAATGTAATTGATATTGTAATTATTCCGTGTGTCGAGAGTACACGACCTCGAGCTGGAAAGTGCGGCGATTCTGGAAAAGAACGGGGGGTCGTAACGTAATTAAACGGAGAAAGAAGGGATAAAAGTGGAAGAGGAGGAGAGGGAAAAATTGATATGTCCATCAAAACGAAGGTCGCCCTTGGAATAAACAATCCTATGTGATTGAAACGAAACCTCTCTTGACGTGGTTTACCAAAGTGAAGAAAAAAAGGACTGGAATGCGGGGAGGGGGGAGGGAGGGAAGGAGGAGGAGGAGGAGGGATCGCGAACAAAAGGAAGATTTTGATTCCGTACACGACTGTCGGGGGACTCGTAGGCTATTTTCCTCTCGGAGACATTGTGCAATTTGCATTTGCATATGCAATGAGAGAGAAGCGTATTTAGCGAGAATTGTGTAAAAATTAATAAGAAGAGTTTGATGAAATTTGAGAAAATTTGAATTCAATTTTTGAATAAATTTAAAATTCGAGCAAACGCATATTCTTGCGTGAAAGTTGCTTAAAATTGGCGCAACGAATTTTTTTTGTTTAAAAGACTTCGCCTTATATTAAAAATAAAAAAAAAGATAAAAAGTATAGACAGAGTGACACGAGACAGATGAAATCACACAAAGAGCACAACATCCGTTGTGTTAAAAAAGTGATTTGCGCGATTCGCGTGAAATTCATCGCCAAACAGTCCCACTTTGCACAATCGAGGAGTTTTTCTTTCGTCACGCACGTATGCTCTCGATCACGACGCATACAGATCCTTTTTTCTTCCTTTTTTTTAATCCCATTTTTCTTCCCAAATTGTCACTTTTTACAAGACTGTTTAATTTCATGCTTCTTTTCTTTCTCGTGTTCACTTTGTATACAAATACCTCGTAGAAAAATGTTGTATCTATAACTTGGTTGAATATTTTTTGATCCGTGAAAATAATTGTTAAGAGGAAAAAATGGAAATCATCGAAATCAGTGGGATGATTCTAAATAATTAATCCCCGTCTCATTCTAAAAATTAACACACCAATTATTCCTCCACAAAACGTTCACTGTTCACCTACTGCATAAACTAGAATTCCAAGATTATAAACTTCGTATCTTCATTATCCATTTAATTTCTCAGAAATTACAAAAATACACCTGTTCAAATCGTGCAAAACGAAGAAATGAAATTATATATATTCCAACGAGAGATTAAAATCTAAGAAATATTCCAACCTTCGCCACTATTCTCCACGACAGAAGCAACGTACAGTAAAAGAAAAAAAAAAAAGAAAAAATGGCGAGATAATTGCGAGGAATCGTGTCACGTGGGCATCGCAGCAATGCTCAAGATCGGTCGATACGTCGAGCAGAAGCCCTTTCCACGGGATTCCAGGGGATCTCGTCACGCGGCGTTGTTTTTAATCGGCGGTTATCGACACCGGCCAGTTAAAGAACCGATCGTGCCGTTAATTGGTACACTAGGTTGCGTGGGCGGTGGCGCCCGTACTCGTGTAAGAGGAGGTTAGAGTAAAAGGTAACAATGCGAACCTTGGAGCGAGTTCGGTGTCGTATAAATGAGTAATGACGAATTTCGTGAAAGAACATTTTTGGAGAAAATTTAACTGCTGCTGTGTGCGTATGCGCAATTAGCTATATCGAGTCTTTGGTTTAAATTTTTAGATACGCGATAAAGGATAAAATACGAACTTGTTAAATTTTAATTAAAAGTCTTAAACTTAATTAAACACCCGTTAAATATGCCAATTGAAAAGGAGAATCGTGAAATGCTTTTAAAGAGGTCGGAAACTCCGCGATAACGGTCAATAATTAATAAAGTTAAAAAAAAAAAAAGAGATTAATACGACTTAAGTGAAAAGATTATTACGTTGTATAGATATTTACATTATCAATGAGCTGAGTTTTAATAAAATTCTTTAAAAATATTCATACGTAAAATAAATACCTAATCGATACGTAATAACGTCAAATGATGATTTTAATCAAACCATTCGTTGGCTTCCCCCTTCCTGATCTGAGGATTATTCTGGAACATTATAGGACGATTAGGCGTGTCACCAACCCGGTACACATTTGCCTGGACGAGGCCAGGGACGGTTATCGACAGGGAATGCTCGTTGCACGTATCGAACATCGACATTCACTCGATTATTAACGCTGCTGTGCACCCAGTAGCGGATGTCATAAAAGACGGACAGGATTTCGTGTCGAGCGACATTCGTACTAGGCAAAAAGCATCGATACATCGAATAAGAATTAATCCATGTCGTATATGATTAATGGAAAACGATGAATGAAGAGACTTGATGAAGATATTAAACGAAGAGAAATACCTGATATTCGATAAATAAAGTTTTGTAAATAAAGAAAAAAGTGAAGGGACGTTTAAGAATTTTTTACTTCTTCTCTGTTGATTCATAGGAATAAATTTTGAAAAATTATTCCAGATTCTTTTATTAATTATCGTTAATGTACTTTAATATTATCTGTAATTATAATTATAATCATTCTTAACTATATATATATATATATTATTTATACGTGAAATAATTTTTTAAGAAATATTCAATTATTACGATGAAAGATTTCAATCTTGCTTTATCGATTCTTGCTACATATCCTATGGAGGCGTAATAATACTGTGATTGATAGGTTCAGATAGAGCCATTGAGATAATCCACGTTAATCTGATAGACGATAGATGATAGACTAATCTTGTTAAAGCTAGATTTAAATCTGGACCTCAAGGGTTCCTTGGAGGAGGATGTAATAAAAAAGTGTTAAAAATTTTTTCGAAGCATTTCTCTTTTGTTTTTTCATTTTAGCATTTCTTGTAACCAATATCTCATTGACATCGGCGTTGTTAAAGCATTAACAACATTGCTTTAATCACAATTGCGTTTGTTAAAACGCGTAAATCTCGATTGCTCAATCATCTCTGAAATCTTTTCGTCATGGTTCCTCAAGTTGTTCCGCCGTTCGTGCGTGAAATTCGTCTGGTTTTCACAGAATCTCGGTATCAATTGCCCAACAACCGATATTTCCACCGAGTGGTCGCCACTTTTGTTTCGCGACAATTCCATTTTTTACAATTTAGCAACGACATTGTTGTTGCACAAGCGTGTATAATGTATGCATCTGCGAGGGAAAATCCAGGGCTGTTTACGTGCGTCAAAATTGAATTGCGCATTCATCAGCTACGCCTCCTTGAGCTTTCGCCATTTTCATCGGTAGCAAATCCCTGGAATAATCGCTGGAAATGATTCCATCGTAATGAACTTGTCCCAATTAGGCCGTGGACGCTCGTTAGAAGTGATTGTTCGAGCGCTGGCTGTCATTGTTTCGCAAAAGTGTAATTGCTCACGAGTCTTATTATAAGAATTCAGGCGTAGCGATACGTGATGGAATCTCGTTGAATTTGCATCGAACGCCACCTTCGAGGATCTCTTTTATTGGCCAATAAAAAAAAAAAAAAGAGAAAAAGAAAAAAATCGCCTGGAATTGGGAAACACGGATTTCACGAAAGTTTGAGGTTAGGCACATTTGAGGTTAGGCGATCGTAAGCGGTAATAATTACGTTACGAATTATAACATAATTTCCAATAATGCTCGACATCTTAAAAACTAGAATAAAGAAAAAAACTTCACTCGAAGAAACACATTCCTCCCCCGGCATCCCTTTCACCCTCTCAGGAGTGAAACCTGGCTTCTTCTCGCCGTCGATCGTAGATTGGCGCAACATTCCACCCGTTTCGTCTATTAGCATCTCGTCTCCCCCTCCCTCTGATCGACTCCGATCGACTACTCTCTTTGCCCCGTGTTGCCAAACAGAAACGCCTCCCTCCCCACCCCTTATTATGTGAAAATCAAGCGTGTGCGACTGCTAATATTTCACGTACACACTCTTTGCTCGCTAAAGTGGGCGCCCGTATTGTTCCACGACTATATAAGGTGTACCACGGCCCGCTACGGCCAGCAGAAAAGCATCATGGCCAACACTGACAGAGTAGTACTCCTCGTGAGTAACCAGATTTCTTTCATACACCCCTAGTTTTCGAGCTGGTCGTTGCTTATTTCCAATTAATCGTTCGACCAATTCGGTCAACGATCGTTTAGTCGATTCGAGATTTCGAAGAGAAAATCGAAGCGATCCGTCCGAGATGAGAATTAAACCAAACTAATTTGCCGCTAAGTTAATAATAAAAAATCGTGCTTTTCAGCTCACGTTCTCGTGCCTCGTCCTCGCAGCTTCCGGCTACTCCCCCTACGGGGCGCCAGCGTACCACGGCCCGCCGGCGCCGTTGGCCCACGATGGAAGGGTGATCGACACACCGGAAGTTGCTCACGCGAAAGCGGTCCACCTGGCCACCCACGCGGCGGAAGCCGCGAAGGCTTCTCCAACCGGTTACGACGATTACGAGGGGAAATACGTGCATGATGAGAGCACCGCTTACGTGGCTGGCCACGGCTTGTACTACGGGCCCCCGGCGCCGTTGGCCCACGACGGGAGAGTGGTCGACACGCCGGAAGTTGCACACGCGAAGGCTGCGCATTTGGCGGCCCACGCGGAACAGATCTCGAAGATCGCCCATATCGCCCCTTACCAGAAGCCACACTGGTGAAAATCACCCGAGTTGACGACAGGATTGACATGTGGGGATTTCGAGGGGGAGGGAGACCAGGATTTTTTTTTTTTTTGGAATCATTTCTTTGCTTTATGGAATCGTGGATCGATTGGGGATATTTTCGTTTCTAAAATTCGACCTGCGTTTTTGGAGATTATCTCGTTGATGAGGAATATTGTGAATAATTTCGTGAAAGAGAGAGAGAGAAGTATAGATTATGGATTGTGTAACGGATGATGTATAATTTGTTATGTTTTATATATATATATATTGATTAAAAATATTGCAAAAAGTATTTATCGAATATTTTTTATTGATTCTTCTTCCTCTTGTACTCTGTTGTAGAATAAAATGTGACGATTCGTGGTTCGCGAAAAATTTCAAGATTATAAATATCGATAGATAGATAGATAGATATAGAAAAGTTGTAGAAGAAGAAAACTTTGCGTGTCTATGTCTATCGATATCGATCCAAGGCCCTAAGGGATTTAACAATTTATTATGAACGTTGCAAAGCGAGTTATTACGAGCTGAACACGACCAGTTTGGATCTTTAATCCGATACATAGAGAACCTCGAACGGATCCCTAAATGGAATCCGGAGGTCTCGAGTTTTCATAAATCTGTCAAATCTGTTTTGTCTCGGTGCCCAGAAGACAAGTACTTACGTGCATTAATTTTATGGTTATTATCGTGCTTCCGTCAAATTTATAAATCACGAATGAGAGTGAATTGCAAACGCGATGAATAAATCATTAAATAAAATTGGCCATTCTTCGTACAGAAGAAAATGAAACTGAATTATCTTCGAAATTATATTATTATATGCCAATCATAAGAAATTTATAAATGTATAAAAATATACAAAATGGCGTATCGATCGCAAAAAAAAAAAATGCATGAAATATTCATTCACAGGAGCTGAAATTATTTATGATATTATTAAAGAACGTTTTGCCAGAAATTTCAACATGATGAAAAAAGGAAGAAAAAAATGCATGTAACGAAAAAATTACAATATAATCTTACTTATGTTCGTTCATTCAATAGACTACTGTAGGTGTATGATATATGATCGTATTGCAGGTTCAAGAAGAATGACGCAAGTGGTGCAAAATTGCAATATGACGATAATCCATAATTATATTATTATCTATCGTTTCCCGGTATTCGCGATAAAATCCTTCTTTTACCGATGACGCACCAATCCCTTAAATTTTCATCATCGATATCTCAATACTTTTCGAATATCTTTAAATAAATAAAATTCTGCATTTTTCGATTACTCAATCTCCCAAATTATCATCCGCGTCTAACATTTTTTAACGATACTCCAATCTCGAATGAACAATGAGACAAAAAAGAAAAACAATATCTCCTTCTGTTATATCCTCTTCATCTGCATAACACGCGGCGACAGCGTGTTTCACAAGTCATTTCACTCTCTCACTGTCCTCCATCAGCGATTTATCATCGGTGCCTACAGCAAGTGGACGAAACGAATTCCTTCGATGGTCGCCATTCCGTGTTGTCACGCGGCGTCGCACAATCCGTGCATTCGGTTCTCTTACTTTTTTCCTCCCTCCCTCCCCTTCTTCTTCTTCTTCCTCCAATAAGAGTGTAGGGTACAGCAATTGCGACAGTTGTGCATGGTTCAAAGACCACATCTCGCGCATTGTTCGCGTGCTGACCTGAACGGAACTGCGAGCTTGTCGCCAACGCTTTGATAACGAGAGAGAGAGAGAGAGAGAGACAAAGGTGTTGCTGGCAGCGAGTTTCTCAGCGTGTGGAATGTTTCTCGATAATGTTTTAATAGAAATTATATAATAATATGTATTTCTTTTAGATAAAACTGTTCTCACCAATTTTTCCATACATATTTTGAAAAAACAATATTGAAAATAATACCTGGAATAATTATATATCTAGATCTAGAGAAAATCGTCTTGTTATTACGTAGGCATTAAAATCTCCATGAGCTTACTTGGCCCATAAAATGCGAGCATCGAAATCTCCCTCGTTTATCCTAATAATCGATAAAATAAAAATTCAACGATCTTTTCCTCGATCCTCTTTCATTCGATAACCAAAAACTAGAAAAAGCATATATTTCCAATCGAACGTTCACTTCTTCTTATCGTCTTGTTATGGATTTTCGAATTTTCGAAAAATAGTTATTCAACCTTTAGCACATCGAGGACGACGTGATCGGATCCGCGATGACGTGCGTGTCCACGCGCACGGTATTTTATTCCCGACGAGGTTACACAGGGACACACGGTGTGTCATTGTTAATGGCTCGGTAAATGTTACCGGGCAGGGCATGGCAGCCTTTAAAGCAGAGCATTTTCCTGGGTGTGGTTGTGTACCCCGTTGGTCGCGGATGGGGTGGGGCACGCGACGACGCCCCGTACCCCTATAAATTCGACGAACCACGATGGTGCAAGTCACAATGCGAATCCCAAGCTCCGCCGATAGTCGCTGGATCGACCCGCGCCGAGCTTCGACACCATGATTCGATATATCGTGAGTATCACCCGTCTCTCCTTTCCTTCCGATCTTACTCTGCTACTTACAAAGTTTTCTTTAAAAAAGTACCAATCCCTCTATACATCAACTTTCAAAACATTCAACAACTTTGCTTTCAGATTCTCGCCTCCATCGTTTTGAACGTGGCCCGCTCCGCGCCACAGTGGTATCCTGGAGCGTATGGCGGCCACGCGGCCCCGGCCCCGTTGGGGCCCGATGGAAGAGTGGTGGACACGCCGGAAGTCGCCCAATTGAAGGCGGCCACTTGGCCGCCTTGGCCGACGCGAATGCCAGAGCGCCCAAAGGCCCCGGCGGCCCTTATCCCGGCCCCCCTGGCCCCTACGGGCCCGGAAACTATGCCCCGCATTACAGGTCTTACAATAGAAATTTTTCAATTATCTCTCTTTATCGAATCTATAGAAACTCGAATTAACGCCTCGAATGGATGAAACGATGAATTATTACTATTGAAAATTTACAGCGGGCCACCGGCCCCCCTCGGCCCGGACGGCCGCGTGGTGGACACGCCGGAAGTGCAACAGGCCAAGGCAGCGCATTTCTCTTTGTACAACGCCGCGGCCCAGTCGAGCGCCCCGCCGGCTCCAGCACCTCCTGGGTCATGGAATCCGCACGGGGGCTCCTCATGGAACAATCCCTCCTGGAACTCTGGACACGATTGGAATCAGTGGAATTAGACAATGGAAGCTGACCAACTCTCATTCCTCTCCATCGATCGATGATACGAGTGATAGAAAATTCCCTTGGACCCATCGAGTTTTCAACTACCTCCAAGAATCTTTATCTCAAGAATCAAGTGCTATCCCTTTCGCTATTCTTGTATATGCAACGTGCCCTTCTCTGAGCTCCCTTCCCCTCTGGTTCTACCTTCTCTGTGATTCCTCTTCGTCTACCTCTTGGTCGTTTGTCTTCGGTTTTCCCGGATTCTTCTCGGCGTTGAATTCGAGGTTGGTTTTCTTCTTTTTTTTTTTTTTTTTTTCTATAGTTTTAACCTCTAATCTTCCTCGATATTTTCCGTTGTTACCTTGTAAATATACGATGCCATCGATGATGAATTATAGAAAAATTGTGTCGGATAAAATCAAGCTTTCTCTCTTTCCGTAATTGAGTTTTTAAGCGAGAAAAAGATTTGACAATTGAAAATTTCCCAATCTAAAAGAAATTGAAACGTCGTACGAGCGTTGAATCGAATTGCGGAAAGAAGAGTACTTTTTCTTATAGAAATTTGCAACGATGGCGTATCGTATGAATCGAAAGTGAAATAGAAATGTCGTTTGAATCGTCGAATGGAAATGAGTTAACGGTTGTATATGCACCGTTATTACAGTTATTATTGTACACCGTATAATATAATATCGTCTTGTCACATACCTCTTCAAGGTGATCTCTCTTCGTCGCTTTTTGCGTTAGTCAAGTATGCGTGGAAATTAACCTATGAATTATTCATACACAGATATTCAATGTTATCACGTTTCTCGCTTTTTATTATAATTAGAAAAATTTACATGTACATTTTTGTAAATTATCGTGCGTGTACATAACGGAAACATGAGGCGAATAAAATGCAACGTTTTGCTGAAATAATTTGCTCGAAAGACTTCTAATTCGTTGTTGAAAAACAACGTGTAATATACTTTTTACTCCTACTTTTTAGCATTCTGATTTCTTTTTTTTTTCTATTATCTTCAATTTTTGCCCGATCGAAAAATCCTTTCTTTCTTTATTTCTTTTTTTAAAAACCTTTTTTTCACCAGCAAAAAATTTACACGGATTATAAAGAGAAGAAATTTTTAAAAGGGAGAGGAAAATGATTGCGATGGCAATTTATCGCGCTATAATTCGCCATACGGAAACTCTGAGAGGTTTAGAGGCCTTTCATCTAATCGAATCCGCGATCAGGGCACGTGTGGTCGATTAACACGACCCGTGACACGAATTAAATCGATTCGTGCTCACTTTGGAAAACACGGCAGTGTGAAAGGTTAGGTCAGAGTTTGAACAGCTACGAGTCTGGTTATAGAGTAAGATCAAACATATGTACATGGGCGTGAAAACGATGTCGAATCGTTTATTCGAAGGTGAAGTTATGGGATGTAGAAAGCAGGATTGATTTATCGATATTTAAACGGAAATTTATAATTTCGAATCTATCGTTTGCCGATTGAAATTGTTCAATCGTTCTTCAATTGTACAAATGGCCATTTAAACGAGATATAAAGAAGAAATTTTACATACAGGAGTATGTCATCGATGATATATTATTGTTTAATTTGAGTCAATTTAAAGGAAAAATTAATTAGAGAGAATAAAATGAGGTACTCAAAAATCTTCAACTTTAAGAAAATCCAGGCTGATTCAATTTTAAGAAGTTTAGAAGAAAATTCGATCTTTGTAAGATTATTCAAACCTAACAAACTCAAGCAAATCACGAAATTTTAAAATATTTTAAGAAAGAATCAAATCTTCTATATTGCCATTCTATTGTCACTAACAAAATTTCATTCGATCTACAACCAAATCCAACTAGTTCAAACCTTCTCAATCCACTTGTTAAAAAATAAATGATAATTCCAACTACAGACTTTTCAAATTCAAGCAAACCCAACCTCTCGCGAATCAAGGACTCCATAAACATTGAATAAAACAATCCAGTTCTTTACCATACTTTCTCAAACGCGAACAAATTTCATAAATCTCATCAACGATCAGCATAATTTTACTTTAATCTCCTATTAACACTTTATACGACTACAGGTGCACCTCGATCTCCATGAATATAAATCCCGTTGAAACAATTTCTTTGTTAAAAAGTAATAAATTTCACAAATCATTTAAATATATATATATATAAAAAAATCTCACAAATATTCTGATTATTCATATTAATCTCACAATGAAATATTTGTATTTAAAAGAAAATTTCAACAATTCCTATTAATACCATTTCTCTCGAAATAATTTTATTCGCAATAACGTGGTCGTCGTGGGTTGATTTTTCAACATTCCGCTTCAAAATTTCGAATTTTTTGAGAGTCTCTTCTTCATTCATCAATTCGCTTCTTTAGCGAATTTTTAATAAAATTTCATCGTTATTTATATCTAATTGATTAATTTAATACCTGCCTAATTAAGTTTGCTGTTCTCCACATAGAAACGTGGATAATGGCGCACAGGGTGCACGTTGTATAATGCAATTAATACAATTTCCTGATCTTTAAGGAAACAGCACAATCAACACAATTTTTTCTAAATTCTAAAACCTAACACATTCCTCGTCAAGCTCGATCAAACACGTCCTTGCTGGTAGCCAGCGTCTACACATTGGCCGAGTCACGGACAGAACCGGTTCCATGGTGTCTGGTGACTATAAGTGCAAGGCAAAGTCGGTGGCAGACATTGTGGACCGTTTCCTAGATCTGGATCAGTAACGTTATCTGCGCGATCGCTTGTAATTGACTGCTTAAGCATGGTGAATATTGAAATCGGACCGTTGCCCGCATAAGGAAGTGAACGTTTGGGGTGTGGAAGGTCGAGATTTTCTATTGCCACGTGTAGCCGAGATTAGGCGATTAGGTGCGTGGAAGGTGGCTGTGTCTTAAAGGCTGTGTCTGGACAGCAATCACGGGTCACTGGGTATCGAGTTGAGGTTGGGCGACACGAGAGGGCGTTTTTTGTTTTGAGTGAAATGGACGGGGGAATACACACAATATAGTTATTTTTATATAAATGGCTTAAAATTTAGCAAATAATTTATCTTTCACTGTATCTTTTCTGTAAAGTTTTTAGAGTACTTGGTTGTCAAAAATTTAAGGAGGGGTTCTTCTCGAATTAAAAAAATTGCTCTTTCGTTTCTTAGTTATTAACAATTGAAAATTTATAAATGTGATCGCTCAAGGATGTTTCTATGGATATTCAAAAAGTAAAGCGAAATTTTTTTATTCTTAATTTTTACATTCGTAATTAAACATCTTGTATATAAACGTGTTCCAAATGTCTACATGTAGAATAGAACAAACAATTGAACAATGGACTCCGCACGTATTTAACGCTATATAATGGCAAATTCTGGTTAATGTCAGGGAACTCTTAACGTCCGGAATTTACGTTATGCAAGATGCAGGCCAATCTTCCTTTCGATTTCTCATTGGACGACGCCCACGTTACGACGCTCGCTTATTTACCTACATTCGAGCCACATGACTAATCCGAATAGTGTGGGATGACAGAACAAGATCACGATGAACAAGCCCACGTGACTTCGTAAAGGAACATAATTATAAATCAAAGGAAAATATACAGTGGGAACGGGAAGAGGGAGAAATAAGGTGTAAACGACACGAGAGACACATTCATATTTTATTCCACTGCAAAGACAATAAAAAATACGGAATACACTTCGGTGGCAAGAATGACAAATTTTCTAAGTAACATACGATTCATTTTTTCACAAAGTACCTTAATATCTACCATCATAAATATATTATTATCTTAAAAATCTAAAAATCTAAAAATCACATATATTATTCATTAACAATTGTATGGCAATAAAATTCAAATTGCAGCAATAGCAATGTGAAACAACAAAATGGTTATTTTAAACAAATGGACGATATTCAAGTTGAGTGTATATAAGTAATATTATTTACAAAACGGATATCGGGAAGAGAGGAGTTTTCGTTCAATTTTCGTCAAATTGTCGAAAAATCCCAACTGTCAAAGAGATATGTAAAAAATCAGGTACGACACAATCTGCTCTCGTAATTGCTGCTGCAAAAAATTGCATTGCACGAACAATTCGACGGAAAATTGAACGATTTTATGAGAAAATCGAGCGACCCAATTTTCATAATTATTTTACAATAAATTCGAAATTGCGTTCGGGTAAAAACGCAAACGTAAGATCGTAAGTAAAAATATCTATCGTTTCACAAAAAAATCATTTAATATCTCCTTCCTCTTATATTCTCATAAATATATATTTATCAGAATTAATTAAACAGAAATACCGAAACTAAAACGGTTTAATAACACATACGTACGTATCAGAGATATCGTCGGATCAAGGGAACAAAATCCTATCCTCATTTTAATAGTAAAGATCGTTCTGAGTGGAGAGTGCTACGGCGCGAGCGTGTGCCTTCATGTGCGCCTCGCGCGCCCTCATCACTTCCGGTGTATCCACCACGCGGCCGTCAGGGCCGAGTGGCGCTAGTGGTCCTCTGTAACCCATTGTCGGCGAGTGTTTGTAGGTAACTCGAACAGGTGCCAGGTAAACCAAATTTTTTCGTCCATCAAAGATGTCAAATTCGTAAAATTCCGACGCCTTCGAGGCTGCTCGTGCACGCGTTGTCAAACGAGGGCTTTTCGCATCTGTCATCTTTCAATCAAGATTAAATGATAAAAACGATGTTCCTTTCCTTTAACGAAAAAAAAAAAGAAAAAACAGAAATGAATCCTCGTCTCGAGGATCGATCAATCTGTTCTAACAGAAATCTGCAAGGCAACGGGGAATAAAATTCTGATATTAAATTCTTAAATTACCTCAGGATTCTCCATAGCGTTTCCATCGCTTTCCAAAGGCATGTATTCCCTCTGCCTCTGTCTCTTTTGCATCACAGTCTCGACAGGGTCCATCACTTGTGGCATGTACGACATTTCGTTGTTCTCGTACATCTCGTAATCGTTCTGGGCCTTTCTCAGCCTGGCCATCGTTTCAGCGTGCAACGCTAGGTGGGCGGCCCTCGCATGGGCCACTTCCGGCGTGTCCATGACCATCCCATCGCTGGTCAATGGCGCTGGAGGGCCTCTGTACTGAATGTATTCTCTGTCCTCGTAGGATTCGGCGATCGTCGACGCCACCAATGACGCGGCCAGGACTATCTGGAAAAGTGCAACGAAGGATCACGTTGCATCCCGTGAGTTTTTTCGATTTGAAGAAAATATAAGATATAAGAAAAAGAAAGAAAAATAATCGAAATTAAAAGTTTACGATATTATACGAATATTTGGAAATATTTGGAATGTATATTATTTTTATTTTTTCAGTAAACGTCGAATCATACAGATCATTAACGACAACGAAACTATATTTTCCCTCGACACACTTACGAGCAAGATCATGCTGTTAGGACACCACGAAACGGACGTCTCGGTTACGAGTGTGGCTGGCTCGATCGGTCGATCTAGCTTTTATAGCGTCGCGGTTTCGATGCGAGTAAAACCACGTTACGATGATCAATACCTGACATGTAAAACGATATTTTAATTGTTTTCTCGTTAAACATGCACCATGATCTTGTAGTTGTAGTTAAAGTTTTGAAGAAATTGCGGTGAGGTATCGCGGATTGATTGTCCGATAGCTTGAAACTGAGATCCATTTGCAGAGATGTATGTGAAAAATCCAAAAGATGGTAAGTGGTATATAAATTTGTGAGTTGACGAATCAATGACGAATTCTTTTTTTTTTTTTTTAATTATCAAATCACAAGTCATGATAAATTTTTTAAAGATTTATTTTGTTTCGAAGTTGTCAGGCAAAAATAACTTGAAAATAAAAATCTTAACAACTTTTTCTGACAGAATATTAACAAGAAATTCTTAAAATTTTTATAAACAATTGTGGTGAAAAAAATATGTTTCTTTTAATAAATATAATTTTCTTGAAATGCATACGCAAGAAATCGAACAATTATAATATCCATATTAGATATTAAAAATTGATCCAGTTTACAAACGTCCCTGATGTTTCGTCTCGACTTTTCGAGGTCAGTTTTCAGCGTTGCAACCCCCTCGCCACAAAGACAACATTGGAGAAGACTTTTTTGTGGTTTCGACCCCGATTCACGGACGACTAGACGGGATCATAGATACCCTTAGTGATCCAGTGATCTCTTCAAGGCAGTCCTGTTTCCACGATGAGCTCCTGTCCCCTTATAAATGATGGTCCAGATACAGTCTAGCCAATCACGCATCGATATCGTTTCAAAATTCATGTGACGCACTTTGAAATAATTTCAAATTTTTGCCAATAAAATTTTCCAAATTAAATTTTACAATTATAGGCTTAGGAAAATTGTTTCTGTAAAAAAGTTTGCAAAATTAATTTTCTTGAATGTAAAATTTTTTAAAATTGCGATCCTTCAAATTCGAAATAATTTTCTTAAAATTACAGGAAGGAAATGAAAAATTGAACTTATTTAGAGATTAGATAGTTTATTTATCGTGTGTAATCACTTCATTACACGAACATAATAAATTAGAATAGTAGCCTCGTTTCGTTTAATTAGCATCGATTCGAATTCCCTGTTTACAATGTTTACGTGATATAATTCAGTCGATAAAAAAGAAAACTTTAACTGATCACGATTAATTAAAATTCATTGATCAGCATTTAAGTCTTGAAAAATATAGATCCAAATGGATAATTAATTTTCATTAAGGCATTCGTTTAATATCGTTCGAAACATTTTTTAAATATTAATAATCAACATTACGAATGACTTACAAAAACAAATATAAGTACTTTAATTTTTATTGGAATTAAAATGGATGAAAGAATAACTTCAATTTCGTTACTTGTTATTATGTATCTTAAATAATAATTAATGATCCATATATATATATATATATATATTTACATGCTCCTATTTAGGAATGCCGACTCGAACAAGTTACAATTCTCGACCTTTTCAAAAGCGACGAATCACGATGCTAGAGTTCGTTCAGCAGGAACGAATCCACGTTCCCAGCTCCTTCTCACGTGTTTCGTACACCAATGCGACCTATGTCGCAACAACTGTAGCCTGAAGGTGGCTGGCAACACGGAGGTAATCCTATTTCGACGAGATTTCTATTTATCCCATCATAGAAAGTGGATCGCCAAGCCGAGTACGAATTGGAAAAAAAATTTGCTCGCCTGTTTATTTTCGTGGAAGATTACGTTACGCACACGTATCGAGGCGTGAATCTTCAAAGGAATTTTAATAAAATGGAAAAAAAAGAAAAAAAAAAAAAGGCAAAAACTTTGAATCGTTGCTCAAAATTTAACGAACGATACGAAAGTTTCGATAAGTAGATTCGAGAAGCCATTGACACTACACTATTCTCGCTGACTAATCAACTATATCGTTTTCTTTTTTTTTTTTTTTTTCTAATGGCGAAACTTTTTGACCGCCTCTTTTCGCGCGCAAAATCGCACGAGCAGAAACCACAATCGCACGAGACAATCGTTACGATAATATCTACGACAAAAAGTCTGAAATTTTTTTTCTCATCGAACAATTCTCTTCATTTCACGCGATACGTGTTTATTTATTTTTCTTTTGAATTTTTTATTTGTGCATCCACATTTATTCGTGCAATATCGTTCTTCTTATCGATATCAATATTTATGATAAAAAATTTTTTTTCCATTTTCCAATATTCAATGTTAAACGACCCTGAAGAGGTGTTCATCTAACCCGATCGAGGTGAAGACATCTTTCCAATCTTTCTTGGATTACGCTAACCGCAGTGCACAACGAAATCAAATATAGGTTAACTCGTGGTTTCTAAACGAATAATATTGCTTGGCAATTTGTTTGGCGCATTGATTTTTGGTGGCTTCTCGGACGAGAATTGCGCGTTAACCTACATAATAAAAATTCATCGGATATCTGGAATATAAGTGTCGATTTCTTGAACTTAATACATAGGCCTAGCAACATAATATATTAAATGTAATGAAAGTTTTGCGATGAATTTCGTACATATAACGTTAAGCTTTGAATACTAGATATTTAAAGTATGAAATTAATAATTCTGAATATATATTATACATATTGTGTGAAAATAATGCAATACACGTTATAAATTGTGAAAAATATATTTTTTTATCTCAATGTACTAAAATAATAGAGGAAAATAATGATAAATGAATATCAAGCAAGAGATTTTTAAAATTATAATTTTTAATGCAAAGAGAAAAGAAATAAATTGATTCGATGGAAAAAATTCAAAATTTATTTAGGAAAGTTATGTAAAAATTATATCTCTTATTGTGTTACTTATTTTATCAAACTATACCATCAAATTACAAAATTTACAACTCTCTGATTTTAGAAAAATATTTCTAAAATTTTTGATCCTTTTAAAATTTATGTTTCTCAAAAAAAAAAAAAAAAAAAAGAATAAAAAAAAAATTTTTTTAAATTATCCCTAGTATCACGCTAAAAATTAAATATACCAAAGAAAGAAACAAGAACGAACGAGAGGAAACAGAAGGAATAAGAAATGAGAATTTAAAAAAGAGGAGGGGGAACAATTTATTGACCTAAATTATGTACAAATACGTCACGGTTTGTCTCAATTTAATAAGCTCCGACTAATTGCTGCGATTGATAATTTTGAGGTTGGAAAGCAGGTTTGCCAAACGCAGGTTGCGCCGCTGGATAAGAGGGCGCTGCGCCAGGAAATACTCTAGCCGCGGGAGAATTGTATTGGACTGGTGCGGCTGGTGGACTAGCATAAGCTGAAATAAAAGGAAAAACAATTTAATTTATTAATCCCTAATCTAAAATTAAAAGAACTTTATTTATTCATTTATTTTTTATGATGAAGAATTCGCTAGAAATTCGCGCATACTTATATAAATAACAAACAATTGTGGAAATTATTAAAAAAAAATTGAAAAATTCTTATCGATCAATTTAAATTTCTTTTACCGAATTCTCTTTTAAATGGAAAAAAGATTGATTTACATTTCATGGGTTTATATTAATCTTCAAAGTTATTTATTTATATTGCAATTACAGTGAAATTCGATTACGCGACCTACGATGTTGCTTGATATTCCAGAAGAGAAATGGCCGGGTCACGATTATATACCTAACGACTAGTGGCCATTCTCGCAGGAACAATCGAACGATTAAGTTGTTGAGCAACTATTCCATTCTTACCAGGGTGTTACCAATGTATTTATAGTTGGCCAGAGTTCAATAATTCTCTAGTTCTGCCTCTTGTAGGAATTCCTCCATTTAACGTGTAAAAATAAACATCGAAAATAATAATTTTCAACACCACTAGGACAAACGTAACAAATATCACGTATATATACTAATTTCAAACTTTT